GAAAAATTCCCTGGAAATTCCGTGGAACTTCTCCATGGAATTTCCATGGAGATTTCATAGAAATTCTGCAAATTTTTAATTTTAATATATTAAAATAAAAAATTTGCAGTAATATATGAAATTAACATTTCTAGGACGATTAGAGTCTCATAATAAAATTTGCATAATACTTTTTTTCTTTGCTGATTAATAATAAAACAAAAGAATTTTTTAAGGTTTAGATTTCAAAAAAACCGATGTCAAAATTCAAGTGAAATAAGAAAATAAATTATAAATTAATGTAAGTAGTAATTACACAGGTCAACAAAAAAAAGACTTACTTTTTTTATGAGATATCAGAATGGTTTCCGATGTATTTTTGGACGCTGAACACGATCCCGAATTCCAAAATTGCCCATCACGTCAGGATTTTGAAAAAAGTGGGGGTAAAGACCCCAAAAACGCTTTTTTGAGGATTTTCAACATTTTTTTTCTCTTTAACCTGACGTGCTAGAGACTTCCACAAGGTCTTAAATTAAAGCTTATAATGTGCACTACAAGACTCATATCCATAAAATAAAAAAAAATTAAAAGCTTTTTCAAAAAATGGGGTTGAAGACACCAAAAAGATGTGTTTTTGGATTGCTTTAATAGACTTCATGCAATTGCTTGGATTCGCTTGAAAATTGTTACTCGGGGTTTTTGGAGTCGTTGATTACGAATCCGAAATTAGTTTTCAAAAATTTAAAATGGCGAAACCAAGATGGCAGATGTAAAAATTAAGAATTGCTTGGATTCGCTTGAAAGTTTGTTACTCCAGGGTTTTTGGGGTCGCTGATTATGAATTCGCCCTTTTGAATTTTTGAAAACTAATATCGGATTCGTAATCAACGACTCCAAAAACCCCGAGTAACAATTTTCAAGCGAATCCAAGCAATTGCATGAAGTCTATTAAAGCAATCCAAAAACACACCTTTTTGGTGTTTTCAACCCCATTTTTTAAAAGAAATCTTATTTTTTTTTTATTTTATGGATATGAGTCTTGTAGTGCACATTACAAGCTTTAATTTAAGCCCTTGTGCAAGTCTCTAGCACGTCAGGTTAAAGAGAAAAAAATGTTGAAAATCCTCAAAAAAGCGTTTTTGGGGTCTTTACCCCCACTTTTCTCAAAATCCTGACGTGATGGGCAATTTTGGAATTCGGGATCGTGTTCAGCGTCCAAAAATACATCGGAAACCATTCCGATATCTCATAAAAAAAAGTAAGTCTTTTTTTGTTGACCTGTGTTATTAATCATTAATTATATTTATTTAATTAAAACCATTTATTTAGTGCGTCAGAATTGTTTTATTTATCTGTTCATAACCATTATGATGTACTATTATCATAACCCTTATGGTTATAAAATGATAAAAAATCAATATTATTTATATATTTTCGATTAAATATATTAATTTTAATTAAATATTATTTGTACAATATTCTAAACATATATTTATTATTTAAATACTATAATAATTGTGGTCAAATGAATTGATAAAATAAGCAATTGTGATGCACTAAATTAATGTTTTTATTTAAATAAATACAACAAATTATTATAGTATTCAAATAATAATTATGATAATAAATATATGTTTATGGTATTGTACAAATAGTAGAGTAGGGTGGGGCATTACTATTCTTCTTTGGATTTTTGAGTCTAGAAAATGTATTTAAAAAAATAAAAAAATGAGTAGGACTGTTTGAAAACTTGACTTCTTCTTATTATAATGATATAATACTAAAAAAAATATAAAAATTAATTTGTTAATTGGAGGAGTTTTTCTGGTTTTTCTCTTCCAATTTCTTACCATTCTAACCCAGAAACAAGCACACACAAAAAATACACTGTTTTGTAGTTTTCGCTGTCATCAGTGGAAGAATAGTTTCGCCCCATCTGCACATTTTTTGAAAAAACAATTGTAAAATTTTTGAACAATAGAATATCAAAAATCCATTATGATATTCGTGTTCAGCACAAAATTTGACTTTAGAAATAATTTTTCCGATAATTTTTCCGACCGTTTATCACTATTCACAATGGCAGACTAAATGAGTGAAAACAAGTAAGCGAGTATATCAAAATCACATTTGAGTACCTAACTCCTACGATAGATGGCGCCAGAAGCTCAAATGTGGCGTACAATGTTCATTTCACATGACAAGTATACAGTGTAAAAAGAACTTTAATCGGATGAATAGTTTTCTCTCCAGGACTAAGAATAGTTTCGCCCCGCGAATAGTAATGCCCCACCCTACCCTATTAAAATAAAATTAATATATTTAATCAAAAATATATAAATAATATTGATTTCTTATTAGTTTATAACCATAAGGGTTATGATAATAGTACATCATAATGGTTATGAACAGATAACTAAAACAATTCTGATGCACTAAATAAATAGTTTTAATTAAATAAATATAATTTATGATTAACAATTAACTACTTACATTAATTTATAAATTTATTTATTTTCTTATTTAACTTGAATTTTGACATCGGTTTTTTTTTGCATCTAAACCTAAAAAATTGTTTTGTTTTATTATTAATCAGCAAAGAATAAAAATATTATACAAAGTTTATTATAAGACTCTAATTTATTTGTTCGCCGTTTGAAAATAGCGACAATTTTATCCCAAGGGAAAAAATAAGACATGGAACCATGCGTTATTTTTGCTAATGGGATAAAATGAAGGCTCTCCTTTTTTAAGAAAAGTATTCAGAAGAGTAAAGTTATATTGGTGTTATAAGTAAGTCTTATATCTCCCCTAATGAGTTCTGCCTAGAGTTCATCAAATTCAGGTGCATCTGGATTACTCGAAACATTCATACTGATTGGAGTCTTTTCTTGAAAAGCTCTTACCAAACTCTTAATGCAATTGGATTTTGTAGGTATTGGTTTCTGTTTTTAAATGGATGGGTACCATCCTTTGGTATCTTACGTAAGATTTCAGTTCAGTGTTATGCTTCCACTCTTCCTGTAGGAGGAGAATAAACTGATAAAACAAAAATTTTCCCTCCAAAAATGATTAATTTAATGCATACTGCCATCTAATGGTTCCGTCAAAATCTCTCCAACTTTTTCATTTCCGTGTTAAGTGATATTCTGCGATCAGATCTGAACGTTTTGAAGCCTCTGAAATCCCACTTTTTGTTGATTTGGTTCAGCTATATGTCTGTACTCTGTGACTGATAGCAAGTCGACATTTAATTCATACAAGTGATTTAACGCTAATCTCTATTCAAGAAGAATAGCATAAGCACTTCTTTTTTTAACATTGTTTATCTTTTTCTACACAATTACAACAGCTATCAGCTTATCTTCGTCTGGAAATCTTACTGTTCTCTACTTCGTTTTGACATAAAACTGACATAAGACTATCTTTCCTCAAATTCAACAGTGCATTTCTTTCTCTTTCCAAAATAAAGTAATATGTCATCTTAGAATGATGTTTGAGTTTATGGTTATTATGTATATGTTGTTATTATTACTGTTATTATTTTTTCTGCTTGAAGTCATAGAAACAAATGGGGGAGTTTCTTCGGATATTTTTCTTTGTATACTTCTTCCTCGTTGATTAGGTGACAATTCTTCCGGGTACTCCCTTAGAAATCTAGCTTCTGCATCTGACAAGTTATATAGGTATCTCTCTATCATCACTTGGAATTTGTTTTTATAGGTTATACAAATAGTGAAAGAGACTTTACGGTTACCCTTGCAGTCCATACTGTAATCCCACGTTCTTGGTGCTTCACAATCCTTTTCAGTATGTGATTCTCCACAGTGCTCACATGTGGGATTTTCTAATTTGCGTTGTTAAGTAAGGTAGTCAAATCTCTATCACCAAAAACATCTCCTCGGTGTCGATATAGATGGAGTAACGAACGCTCTCGAACTCCAAGAATAGGTATATCGTGGGATCGTTGTCGACCTGAAAACAATATCCACGATGTCCATGAGCATCTTATTGATTTTGGACCTCCTTCCTGCTGTCATTATTATCGATTTCATGACATCATTCAGATTTTCCACGATGTTAGAAGCCGAGAGACAGGTTTGAGCCTTAATAAATTTTATTTTGAACGATGTAAAGAAAGGAATGAAGATTTTGAATCCTTGTTCTTTTGGGACTTGTGATACTAATGCGGTGTTGGCATTCTCCACTTAGTAACAAATCTTTATCTGATTACGACCTGCTACGTGAATTCTCATTTTGGCGCTTATTATACTTGAAATCAATTTACCTGTTGTCTGAGGATCATATCTCCCTATTCTTTTACCTTTCTTGATGGATTCCATAAGTACAAGAAAAAGACCCTACTCTTTCTGGGAGTATTAAATGTGGAAATCTGAAATATCATTTTCGCAGTAGATATTTGGATCCAGCAGGTCTATATCTGGAGAGAAGACCTTATTTCTGCTTGCTCCTTTTTCTTTCTTCTCACTTAACTTTTTTTCCATTTGTTTTTTAAAAAAATGTAGAGGTTTCGTTTCGAAGCTGTATTTCGTTCCCCATTTTATTTAAATTATTTAGTTGGTACATTTAGACACTTGAGAATTTAGCAAACAATGTTAAATTTATTATATTATCCAATTAATTATTAATATTTTCAAATTCACAAAAAGGTTATATGTACTCATTTCTATTTAGAATTCATATATTCAAAGATTTAATCAAATCTATCCAGATGTGTGTATTTCACAAAATAATGTGTGCAAATTATCTTAGATATGCTTTGACGGACTAACCTGAAATTTCGTAGGTTTAGAAGAATTAATTAATTGTTTACACTATACTTATGGTTTTAATTGTTAAAAAATTTATTTATTGCATTAAAACAAAATGATTAAATTTAATTTATATAATAAAATGATGTTTAATTTTAGGCATTAATATTTGAAAATTAAGTTTGGTACGCCAGCTGTAGAAAACATAAGAATTTGAGCTTCTTTTACTTTCTTTTATGTTTTCAGTGGGCTACGACCTAGGAGGGGTATCAACTAGTAGTAAAAGAGAATTGGAACATGGGAAAAGGCCGACTGGAGGAAAGGAACCTCACTGCCTTTACCCTGGTGATCTGTATCCGTTTACGCGAAAACCTCTTTTTGTAGTCGTTGATTCGGATAACAGCTTCGTGTTTCAACAAATACCTCGATACTTTGGTCAACCACTAATGGTCCTAATGTCGCCCCAAGATACACCATCAAATCTTAGAGATCTTCGCCACGGTGGTAGCCTTTTTACTTTATTTCTTCATGCTCCACTCGCCGCTTTTTGCCTTATCTGCAACGTTGGAAGTCTTGCTATTCATCATTGGGAGCGCTGCCAAAGTTTCATAGAACGATTTCTCATCGAAGCTAGTCGACTCGTCGTGCGAGCTAAATGCGGTAAGGCCAACAAGTTTATTATTTGAATATATCTAAATGAGAAGTATTAGATTTATTTATTTTAAATATTAATGTTTAAAGTGACACATAGAACCCTTTTATGTAACATAAATGTTGCACTGAATCTTTTGATCATTACGTTTAAGATAAAACGCATTCAACGTTTGAATGGAAAACGGTTTTATTTACTTTAAATATTATTCTCTTTCAAGTACCAGATAGATACGTCTGGACACAGTACAATCTCTACAAAAACGTATCCAGGTGGACGTGATATACCTTGATTTTGCTAAGATTTTCGACACTATTGATCATAAAATCCTTGCAAAAAAATTTGATACCATTAACATCCCTCCAAACTTAAAGCAGCTCCTCCTATCTATCTCTATCTAGACGAAAGATCACACGCAATCGCAGTTGGATGCTATCTTCCTAAAGAATCAACTCCTGTTCGTTTAACTATAAAATAAACAATCAAAAATTGGAAAGAGTGCATTTAAGCTGTGATCTTGGAGTCACCTTTAATTCTACACTTACTTTTGCCGAGCATATAACAGCTATGATCTCCAGTGCCTCCAAAGCCTTAGGATATCTGATCAGATCCTCAAAAAAATTTTCTAACATAAATGCGATGATCTAATTGTTCAAATCACTAGTCCTATCAAAAATGGAATATGCTAACCTAGTATGGGACCCAATTTATAAAAAAATATGTAGATGATATTGAACATATAGAAAAACGCTTTTTGAAGTACTTGTTCTTCAGGATCGATGGAAGATACCCCCCGCAAGGATCTGATTATTTAGCGTTGTGTGAAAGGTTTGGTTTTGTTACTCTTGAGGAACGAGGAATCATAGCTGCAACTATGTTTATTTTCAAAGTCCTTAATTCCAAAATAGATGCCCCATCGCTCCAAAATTTGGTAAATTTTAGAGTACCCAGACCTGGATTACAATACACTGCTCCTTTCTATCTCAAAAACACAATATCATTCTCTGGCTCAACAATACCCATTTTTTATGCGTGTTATCACATAAACAATGTTTTCTCTACTATGAATCTAAATCTGGATCTATTTAATAGCACTCAAAATGAATTTGTGTAGACGATGAAATAGTATATTTCGTAACAACTGCTAGCACTAGTTACGAACGATATTTTTCATAACAAGGTGCAAAAAAGTACCCTTTTTTGCACCGCGTTATGAAAAGTTATATTATGAAACTTAGAACGCAACAATAAATATGTAAAATTATTATACTCAAACTATGTATATAGAAACCCATTTATGGTCCTCATAGACTTCGGGTAAAAGTAAATAAATAAATATTCTTAAGATACCTAATTTCCACTAAGAGATCCATCGGATTCATAATATTCTATTTATTGAAAGTTATGTGCAATGGTGTTTAGGGGATCGTGTGATGCACGTCTAATTGAGGATCATGATTAAAGAACTAGGCATGGTTAATTGGCCTATTGATGATGATTTTTTACCACAGACTTCGAATCAAATATGACAAACTTAATTACTTCTAATTATATTGGAATAAATTTATATCTCGATATACAACATCATGTTTTGACTGTAAAAGCATTCATATAATGAAATTCACATGAGCCACCTTTAGAGCATCCTATATAAAATTTTCCAAGAGCAAAACATTCTGAACCACTAACATATTTTCCTGGAATACTTAGAGTTTAAACTTTAGACTGATTTATCTTCATAGAGAAAAAAGGGCAACTGTAAACTGTAATATTGCATAAACTTGACTGAACGATTGCTCGTTCAAAATTATAAATCCATATAATAATAATTAAAACATCTTTCTCATAAGAAAGATACGGATTTAGATCTTCATCTAACATTATCAAAAGAAGCTTTAACATCTAAATGTTAAATTGATATTCATAATGTTTAATTAAATTCTTTTTCAGAAACCAGTGTTTTACAATTTTTTGGAGATGACTTTTTGCGACTCCTACTACTTCGTTATGTATTCTGTGATGTCGTTTTGCACTTACATCGTTCGTTTCGTGGCAGACAACAGAGACCACGTTGTCATCCACCTCTACCAGAAGCTGAAGTTCTAGAGCATCCTAGTTTACATCAGTTCGTCTATGATTTGGCATCTAGTTTAGATGCACGAGACCATTTTCCTGATAGTAACGAATTAGCTTGACCCAAGCATTTAAAGGAGGAAAATCAAGATATAACACCACTGTTGGCTTCGTATAACCAAGATTACGATTATGATAACAGCAGATACAACTATAATAAGAAAATATACCCAATAAGACTTCATTAAACTGTAGATTGCAGTTTTATGTGGTCTATCTGTACATATATATAAAAGGGACACATACATAAACACAATTTAAGCAGACATCGTTACCTTTTCATCACCTTTATGAACTGATATCAAATATATTTCCTAATTTAAAAATGCGAACAATATGTAAAGTTCCATTCTGTTTCTAAAATTGGATTACATCAATAATATTTTAATAACTCTCGTAATAATCATTTTTCATTAACCATGCATAATTATAAATGTCACAGTTAATTTATCTATATTTGTATATTAAGATAATTCAAAACTTTTTTAATCCTTTAGCATTTATCATTAATTCTGTAATTTTTTATTATAATTTTAACTCTTATTTTTGTCAATCTTGGGTAGCAGATGATTTATCCTTGTTCTATTATGTTTTTGTTTAGAATTTTTACTTATATTTAAGAAAGAAACTTAAAATTTTTCATGATTTTTAAATATTTTTAAGTTTACATAATTCTTTATTCCTTTGTAAAATATTGAATCTCTGATGATTTATACCAAAATAAGTAATTTTAGTAGCATTGTATTTTACTCTCTCCACGGCATTTTTTCTACTATTTTTTTGATTATTAAAATATGTACAGAATGTATTATTTTAATAATTATGAAAAATCATCATCTAGCACAGTAAAAATAGAAATTTTAGTGATACATCGCCGATACATATATATTTATAAAATAATTTTAAATTAAGCAATGAAAAATGACTTTAAAAAGAAATCGGATTTAAAATAAATTTTTCAATGAGTTTATCGATTATAACCGGAATCAAAGTATTGAACATGATTGTATAGTTGTCAAATTTTGTATGTAAGTTGTATAACGACAAAATTTAAAGAGTATGTTATTTTGATATTATAATTTTAATTGAAATTAATTTATAGGTAAAACTCATCGCCAACATGAAAGTCCTTTAATCTAATAACGCCCAAAAGAAAGCAAAGTTTATCTTGTCTTTAAAGTACTAATTTTATATAAAAATAAAACGTTAAGAAAATTTATCAATACCATTTTTGACAAAGATTATCGCATAAAAGAAGTTAATAAATAGAATCCTGTAAAGACATAAAAACTTTAATTAGTTTAGATAAGTAGATTTTTATTTAGTCTAACCACCTATACGTTTCAATGCACACAAAAAAAATTAAGTCTATAAATTCTACAAATTTTTCCAAATTAGCATTTATAGCCATTTAGGAAACTTAGTTTTGTAAAATGTTACAAGTGTTAAAGGACAGCTTTTATAAATGTTTACTAGAAACATTACTTTACAATTTTTAGAAATTATTCTAAAATGTAAGCAACATTTTACAAACCTGAGATTCATAAAAGGCTGTATGCACTAGATTAGAAAAATTAAGTAAAATTTATAACCTATTTTTTTGTCTAAAGTTAAAAAAATTGAATTCACTTTTTTACTAAATAATAATTAATAAATATCATAAATGCACATATTATTTTCACGTCCAACTGCATCTATTATTTTGCTTTTTTACATTTTTATTAACATTCTGGCACATACTGCATCTTCAAGTTCCTGTGATTTTAGAAATAATACGGAAATACAAATAATAAAGATTGGTGAAGTTTGCGTATAGTTTTTGAGGAAGCTTTCAGGGAGTTTATAATAGTCGCACAGTGAGCGAAAACGACAACAAAGCTGTCAAAAGTTGTTTCTCAGGCATAATTTTTATTACATTTTAATATCCTTGCATTTAAAATATAGTTTTAACGTAGGACTCTAAGAGATATATGCGACTTTTTTCATTTAACCTGTATAGCTTTTTTATATAATTTACATAAAAAATCTATCAGTTTGTTTGCTTAAACAAAAATAGCAGTCGATCACGTGACAAAATGGCTTTCTCCAAATCATTGGCACACCAAACTTCATGTCACGTCTACTATGAAAATTAATATAATTCTTTTCGTAAAAAACAAAAGTATTTGATATTAATTATTTTAAAGGATATGTTTAGTTGAAGATTTGAATTTTTTATTTTTATATTTAAATAAAAAAGAATTTAGAAATTAATAAATTTTATGTTAATTAATGAAATTCTAAAGAAAACGAATTTTCGAAAAATCGTTCTTTCTTATAAAACAAGTTTTTACAAAAAAGAAACAGTTTTATCTGAAACAACTAATTTTATTTCTTTTTTTTAAATAAAAAATTTAAACACATTTGAAACAAGAAATTTCTACATACTCTGTCAAATTGGAATTCCATCCACTAAGATTCATTTTCTTAGATTCATTTTCAGAGACAAACAATGTTTGAAGTCCATGGTTCATCCAGATTTTCTGCTGCGATTCTGAAATATTTTAAATATATTTCTTGTAAAGAATCATTAAATTTTCGTTGATTCTTTTTGATAGAATATTTCCCACAAACGTAACAAAAGTCGTTTGGACAGTTTTTGCATTGAAACTTTTTTTGTCTGGTATTCATTGTATCACCTTTCAATTAAGAGAATTAAATGGCTTGACATATAAACAAAACTACAAACAGATGAAAAATGACTCTCGCCTCACATGTTAAGCGAAGTATTGTTAATCAACAATAAATACATAACTTAAATGTTTCAAAAAAGGACGTTCGAATAGCAGATTCAAAATTTAAATCAAAAATATATAAAAAATCTAAATTTTAAAAAAAATTTCTAAAATTCTGGTTTTTTCTAAAATCTAAATTTTCGAAAAATTTTCTTGACTAAAATTGTTTATTTCACGGATTAACCGACAATAGATATTGTAAATAACGAAATAATAAAAAAAATGAATTTTGACCTTTTTCACTTAACTGGGGTTACACCTTCAGTAAATATTCATAGATTTACTTCAATGATGGCTTGTTTCCAAAGGCGTTGAAATGAATTTTGTTATTTTCAATAATTGAATTTTTCTCATATTTTGAACTATTACGTGTAAGTAACTAAGCTGTTCGGAAATAATTTTAATAATTTTTGTTGGCCAATCATTAAGCTTTAATTGTTCATTATATAAGTCATACCTGTGTCTCATAGTTCTACATTTAAGCTATATTTTAAGCACAAAGGTATTAAAATGCAATAAAAATTACGCCGAAGAAACAATTTCGGACGTATTTGTCATTTTCTAAGAGAAACTTTTACCATATTCTTTAAAAAAAAGTTTTCTTTCCAATTTCCGTAATATTTAACCACCCACACAGCACCGAAGTTTCATAAAAATTTATTAAAAATTTACTTACAAATTTGGAGTATTTACTTGCAAATTACGAACGAATTCTCTTTCAAAACACAAATTCTTATAGAAATTTTTCATAATTTCTGAAATAATTTTGAATGAAATTCCGAACGAATTTTGTACGAATCATTTTCATCTAGGAGCCTTAATAATTAGGAGGCTGTTTATACTGTGTTATTTAAAGTGCTGAAATCATAAAATTATCAACTAAACAGTTGCTTACATTTAAATTCGCGTTTGTGCCTGTGACCACCAGTTCTAAATAAATTAAATAAGCCGCTGGATCGTAGAAAAGCAAGTAAATTTTTCTTGTTCGAAATCAAAGTTCTTTTGGGTACTCAAAATTTAACTTTTCAATTGAAATATTTTGAATGGATATCCTTATGGCAAATTTCATTATGAATTAAAAATATTTAAAGTCAAAAGTTATTAATAATTGTTTCCGAGTCTGACTGCTCATTTAGGAATTCATTAACCTATTAAGTCCCATGAAAAAACCAGCCATTGTATTAAAAAAACTAAGAATTGGATTTATAGGCAAATGGAAAAAAAAGATATACCTGTTTTTTTGTTTTTAATTTCCAAATGTTGAACAACAATTGTTTAAACAAATTAATAAAAAATTTAATTTTTTAAAAACAAAAATAACAAAATATTTCACTTTTCTGTTAAATTTGATTAATTTACGGAAATATTGGAAAAGTCTGGCAAAGTATGGGAAGCAGCTATAATGAATTTTGACGAAATATTTTTCTTTTCTGTTAAATTTTATTAATTTTCGGAAATATGGGAAGAATCTGACAAACAATGGGAAGCAGCTAAAGCAATTTTGAAATAATATTTAACTTTTATATTAAATTTTATTAATTTTCCGAAATATAAGAAGAGTCTGGCAAAGTATGGGAAGCAGCTAAAATTACTTTATTTCATAATTTTACTTTTCTGTTGAATTTTATTAATTTTCCGAAATATTGGAAAAGTCTGTCAAAGTATGGGAAGCAGCTAAATCAATTTTGAAAAAATATTTCACTTTTATATTAAATTTTATTAATTTTCCGAAATATGGGAATAGTCTGGCAAACTATGGGAAGCAGCTAAAATGAATTTTGACAAAATATTAATATTAATAAATAAAGTTTAATAGAAAAAGAAATATTTCGTTAAGAATTATTTTAGCCGTTTCCCATACTCTGACAGACTCTTCCCACACTTTGGATAATTAATAAAGTTTAATAGAAAAAGAAATATTTCGTAATGAATTATTTTAGCCGCTTCCCATACTCAAACAGACTCTTCCCATACTTTTTCCTTAGTGTCTACATTTTTGGACTTTGTCAAATTAATTTTTCTGAAAGAAAAAAGATAAAAAATGGTGTTTAATTTTGTGTATGGTACCCTCGAATTTAATGCGAGTGCAAGTCGCACTTGTCTAATTTTTGTATCTATTTCATTGGATATGTAGCTGAGAATTTTTCCAAAAAATTAGGTAAAGTTTGAAAATGGGATAACAAGGGATTTTCAAGCAAATAAAGAATAAGTGTTTAAATATGTTAGTTTTCTTTTATTTTATCTAATGTATATTGTTGTCTGGCAAAATATTGTCGAAGGTTAGAATTTGATTATTTTAAGATTTTCAAGTTTTCCAACATTTTTTCTAGAAGTATGAGAACAGTGTATCAACAAAGTATTGTAAAAGGTTAGAATTAATGTTTTCCAAATTTTCCATTAAAATTTTTTTTTTAATTTTTAAAGTATGGGAAGAGTATAGCAAAGTAATGAAGAAAGCTAGAATAACTTGTATTTTTAAATTTTAGTGAAAACATAATTTATCTTATAAGTAACGTAATTTATATTATAAATAAATATTTTCAAATATTTTAATTATCTTTAAATAAATAAAATCACATTATCTGATCACTATTAGAGTATTTGTAAAGATTTTGAATTTACAAGTAAAACAAAATATTTTGAAATGAAAAACATGATCGAAATTTTTTTGCTAGCTATGAATCTTTAGTGAATTTAAAATTTTATACGTAATCAATTCATATTTTATTAAAAGTAATTATTGGGAAATATATTTATATAAATAAATTATATATTT